ATACCTTAATATTCGAAAAAAGCCTTTACTTTTGGTGCTTAATTTAAAATGTCTTTATGTCAACCAAGCAGAAGCACACGCACAGTATTACTGTTGATCGTAACGCTCTTATTAGTAAATACTTTTCTGAAATTATTTTTATGCGCTAATTTTATAATATTATGTAAATGAAATTCTCTCGTTATGTCAAGCTGATAGTAAATATTTTTGCAGGGGCTATTTTGTGCATTAAAATGCTTTTTTTAACTCAATGCTTTATTCAAATTCAGAATTAAAAGAAAATCAACTTTTGACATATGTTATGGACTTCCTTCTGAAGGTTTCCTATGAGTTGGGCAATGAAATAAATTTTTTTGTCGGAGTTGTAGTTATTAAAAGTTGTGCACAAAATAGACCCCGGGATGAAGCTACTTTGTGCATCGAACTTTGTCTTTTTATAATGTTACGTAAACATTTTTTTGATCCTTTCTCCTTCATTAAATCTTTTGTGTAGATATTTCAGAGTAAATTAAAAAAAGAATGAGATATTAAAAAAAATGTTGTAAATATTATACGACAAAATGTAAAATAAAACACTAAGATTTTGCTAAAATCATGATTTATTAAAAATTAAGAACCTTTCTTCAAATTTTATATTACTCAGAAAATAAATAACACTTTTTCATTTTAAATATACATTTTATAATAATACATTATGATAATTATAAAACTATCATTTAAACACATGTAAATAACTTTGAATCATCATTTCAATAGGAGCTTTTTTAAACGTTTTGAATATTATATTTTTCAAAAACTTGAAATTAATATTTTAAGGTTAAATGAATAACAATTTAATATCTAATACACTTTTCAAGTTATTAGAGAAACGAGAGAAATAGTTTTAAAACTAATTTGAAAAACTTATAAATATCAATTAAAGTTCATTTTTTGCCGTTATGTTGCTCACCGGTTGAAGTTTTAATCGTTTTAAGGATTTTAATTATCTTATTTTTGGTTTTTTGACAAAGAGGTTCTTTTTAATAATTTTATTTATTAAATATACCTCGTACATAAAGTAGCCCCAGTTGACGGCAGTATTATTCAATGCATAGGGTGGTCAGCTCCGTGGCAGCCAATTTTCGAATATTTGTTATAATTTTTTTTATAATCATAGCTGTAGTAAAACCGTTTAAATTACAACTATATTATGCCCTAATGATAAGGAAAAGTGATGTTTAACATTAAAAAAACAAAATTTTTTTTCTTTTAAAACTGATTTTGAAATTGCACAGTTACGTGAAAATCACCCAAATCTAACTTTCTATTTGTCATTAGCAACTATAATATCTCTATCACAGCTATTTTGACTATTTAAGGTAGCAATTTCTTATGATAGAAATAGGTTCCTCGTGATTATCAATTATCTTTCAATATAGAGATTTATTTTGAATTTCCATCTGTCACATTATTAAAAGTTTAAAATTTTTAATTATTTACCCATTTATTGATTAAAGGAAACTTTTTGCTATTTTGACTTTTTCTTTCCAGCATTTGAAGTCGTTGTCATTAAATTCCATCATTCGCTGTTTCCCTGCTTCGAACATAAGCAACATTCTTTTGAAAAGAGATTGAAAGCCAAAGCACATATTTCCCTTTTGTCATTAGACACAATGCAAGAGAATCTTATTGGATTTTCTCATTAGATGTTCTTTTTAAGTAGCATTACAAGGAGCCAATCTAAATGAAATCTACAGAACAGACAGAAAAGGATTTCGTCGGTATGTAAGTTTCGTAGATTCCCTCAGTGATTATACGCACGCAATTACGCAACTTGACGTAGAAAGAAACACCCAAGATAGAGGAAGAAAATTGATACTTTGAGTTCTCGATGGAAACTTCGTTCCTTTCTTTGTGTGGGAACTCTCCAGAATCTCTCCAAGAGCATCATATCGCGATTAAGGATTCATTTTTTACAACAAAGCGACACGGTGACTTATCGGCAATTGGATATCCGCACGTACATGCCAAAGCTGGGTGGGAGTCGAACCGAGACGTTTAATTGGACTTCCAAACACGTTTTAATGAGAGGAACCTGGAATTAATTCTTATTCACTGAATGGAAGAACTTGAAATCACAAATGCTTTGGTAAACCAGCGTCTAATGTCTATTCTTTTCTTAGTCAAAAGCCATTGGTTGCCTCTTTCAGGGCTCGAACCAGTGAAAGTATTTAAAAATAAGGACTTTACGGACCAATTACCGAGAATTTCAACAATTTTTAACTAAAATTCTTCTTTAAATCGATTATTTTTAATAATTTTCAAAAAAATTCTTTGACAATTTTCAAATCCCATTCTTTACAATATTCAATTTTACGAAATTGCAATTATTCGTAAATTCTTCAATTAAATAGATATAAGATAATAAAAACTAATTAAAAATATCCAATTAAACTTTTTCAAAAAAATTAATTTCAAAATTTTAATTCAATTATTATCTAAAATTTTAACTGAAATTCATTTTTAAATCGATTTTTATTGGAAAATTATACTACAAATTAAATTATTTAAATACAATAATTAAATGTTTCTTAAAATTCCATTCCTACAAAGAATTTTATCAAGAAATTTTTAAATATTTCAATTCTTTCGACGAATTTTAATAAAATTTTTAAGAATAATCACATTTTCTAAGGAATTTGATTAAAATTGCATTAAAAATAATTTAAATCCTGCGATGAATTTTATTATTAATGAAAATAATTGAATATTTGCTAAAAATTTTATTAAAATTTTTTAAAATAGGTAATTAAGTTCCTGAGAAGAATTTTATTATTTATGAAAATTATTGGATTATTACGAAGGATGTTATTAAAATGTTTAAAACCAATTGAATTTTTGTGAAAAATTTGGTTATTTTTTAAAATAATGGAATTCTTTATAAGAATTTTATAAACATTTTTTTAAATAATTAATTTTTTCGAAATATAATAAATATTATAAAAATTATATTTTAAATAATTCAATTCTTGTGGAAAAGTTTTTTTGTGAAAATAATTGAATTTCTCGATTAATGAATTTTAAAATAATATTACAAATTGACATTCTTCGATAATTTTAATTATTTATGAAAATAATTGAATTTTTGCCTAGAATTTTATGAAAAATTATTTTAAATAATTGAATCTCAATGAAAAATGTTATTATTAGTGAAAGTAATTGAATTTTTTTGAAGAATTATATAAAAATTTTGTTATAAAATTGTTTTTTTCGAAATTTTTTTGAAATTGCTATATTCTAAATTAACTGAATTTCTGAGGAAATTTTATTATTTATAAAGATAATTTAATTTTGGATGAATTTTATCAATTTTTTTTTAAATAATTGAATTCTTTTGTGAAATTTTGACAAGAATTTTTTTTTAATTTTTAAACATAATTGAATTTCTGCGAAGAATTTTATTATTTTTGAAAATAATTTAATTCTTCCAACGAATTTTATTCAAGTTTATAAAAATGACTGAATTTCTGTGAAGAATTTTATTATTTATATAAATAATTGAATTCTTGCAACGAATTTTATAAAAATCTTTTTAAATAATTTTCTGTGAAATTTTGACGAGAATTTACGAACTTTTCGTCTTTTCTCAGTAAAATTGCGGACTTTACGGACCTTCTTAAAAAAACGGACTTTTGCGGACTTTAAGCAAATTTACGGACTTTTACAGGATTTACGGACCTGGTTCGAGCCTTGCTCTTTATAAATACATAGTCATTCTTTGGAGAATACTTTTACACATGGAGAAGCAATGAAGAAATAGTATTTCCTAATCAAGTATACATTTTATCGACGTAATCAAGAAATAATGACCCAAAATTTAACAACAGTTACTAAAAATTATAAAACATTGAATCATAGCTACTTAATCAAATGTTGATTCAAATTTGAACATAAATTTTATTTAACAGAATATATGCATTAAATTACATTAGAAAGCACATTTGCTGCATTTTATTTTTTGACTATATCAAAAATACTGTTATCTCTAGGAGGGGGATAAGTAAACTTATTTTCAGGAATTTATAAAAAATTTCGAATTTCTTGTCGAAAACACAAAGCAGATCAACTCCAATTATTTTTAATATTCCTCTCCTGTAATCTACATGTAAAAATAAACAAGTATGCAAATTTTTGAGATTCTAGGAAATAAACTGTAAGCACTAGGGAGGTCAAAAAGTTACGAGTTTTTCGTGGAAAACACTATGAAGATCAGCTCCAATTATTTTTGATATATTTTTTCAGAAATCTACACGTGAAAATACATAAAAATCCCAAAAATTGTGAGTACCAGGGGGGGGTACATACTGTTTTGACTAAATCGTTAAAAATTTCGAGTCTTTCACTGAAAACACTATAAAGATCAACTGCAATCATTCTTGCTATATGTTTTTCTAAAATCTACACGTAAAAGTACATACGAATGCCTAACGACAGTCCAATAGATCAAGAATTGTGAGAACTAGCAGGGTAAAAATTATTTTTAAGCATGTAAAACAAGTTTTCAGTTTTTCGCAGAAAAAACTCTATGAAGATTAATTATAATGATTTTCACTATATTTTTCTTGTAATCTATGCGTGAAAATGTATGTTATATGTATATTATGCCAATTTTTAAATCTCTACACTGAGAGAAATGGATAGTCAGATTTTGATGTTAAAAAGATGATGTTACACGATACTATCATTATGCTACTGCCAACCATCACAGATGCTAAAAAAATATAGTTATGCTACCCCGTACTACCAAGATGTTACTCCTGATGATATTGATGGTAACGGTGACTATCTAGATAGCTGTCTGTATACGTAGCATTAAATATGGTCACCCTAACCACAATTATGTTACTACTAAACAAAATACTTTTATAAAGACTTTAATTGCTGAAGGGTGGTTGGGCAAATGTTATTGAGTTGCACTGTAAAAATCGGATTATAAGTATATTAAAAAATAATGAGCAAACCTAATTTTTCTTTAAAGTTAATCGAAGTGGAAGAGCAACGTTCGTTCTGCTGATGCATTCTACGTCTCGCCTTATCCTCCGCCCGAAGTTTATCCCTTGTTGGTGGGGAGGCACTGCTAGCTGGTTGGTCCTTATAATTTCTACTTTCTGATGGACCAATTGGCGGCTTCTCGGGTCCACTTAGCAAAGAAGATGCAGTCGGTGAAGTTGTCAAAACAATAGCTGTCAATGTGTTCACGGAAGCCGTTGCGTTTGCTGTAACATTTATTACAATGCAACACTAATTTAAAAAACAAAAAATTTATGTCGGTATTTGGGCTCGCTGCTTACGAATATGAAGTCCTTTTTCCAAAATTCAAAATGGCAGACTAACTTTTAATAATTGATTGAATTCACTTGAACGTCATTCAAGGAGGTACAACTATTTAAGAAAATAACGTTAATTAAATAAAAGTGACTTCAGATTCGTAACCAGCGTCCCCGAAAATCTCCAAGTAACGACTTTCAAACAAATTCCATCAATTATTAAAAATTTGTCCGTCGATCGTCATATTGGATCCGCCATTTTGAATTTTTGAAAATCAACTTCAAGTTCGGAATTAGCTACCCTGAAACCTTTTTAGTACGACGTTTGATTTTAAAATATCAAAATATTTACACAAAAATAATTTTTTTTATTTCGGAAATTTATTTATTTACAATTGTTTATCGTTTTACGTAACTACATTTATTACTAATTTTTTACAGTCAACATGGATTTTTTTATCAATGGTTAATTTTAGATCTTTTGATTTTACTTAAAAAAGATTGATTCTAAAGAGAATTTTTACATATTGAAAAAAATGTTATATTCATGCGTTTAACAAATTGAAGATACATATATGTAATATATAATAATTATTTTTATAAAAAAATAAAGAGAAGAAATTATGAAATATCTACTCACCAATGCCGGAAGAATTTCCATTAATTGAATTAGTGGTAGACGAGACGTAAGAATGAATATTGCCATTCTCAAAATTGGAATTTCTCAACGGCGAGACATTTGCTCTTAAGAGAGACCCATCACATGAAGAATCAGTACCACCATTGAGAGTACTCGATAGTAAAGAATTTGTAGAATTTTTTATCAAACCATGAGTGCTGTTAACGGAGGGTGATCCAGAAATTGAAGAAAAGCTGGAAGTGATCAAATCTGCGCCACTTGATTCCTGAATCCAAGAGGTGCTGTTAAACCTCGGACGTGGAGGATTGGGTGTATTACCTGTTTAAGAAAAAAAAATTATTAATTTTTTATCAACTGTGAAAAGACAAATACAGTTGAATCTGGTCAAGACAGACTAAAATTAGTATTTTTTCACCATCTCATTAAAAGATTTTTGTATAATATAATAATTTTGTAGTGTAAGAACAAAGATTTTCACCTTTCTTGTAGATGTATGCAACCTCTAGAATTCTTCTCTTTTTATAGGGTGGGGGAGGTACTTCAAGGTAAATATTCTTAATAATTGAGTTTCATCTTTCATCAAACTCGCTCTCAACCAGGTTCGACTTTACACTATTTCTTTTGTAATTTTCAATCGCGTTTCTTAAAAAAAATTGGTATTAATTTTCTTGTTATAATTATTTGGAATTTAATAGCTGATACTATCTAGGCTTTTGAAGAATCAAGATTAAAAAAAAGAATATAATGAAAAAAGAAACAGATGACAAGGTCTACGTAGGCAATATTCATTGCAGGTTTAGTGAAAAGAAAGCAGCTCGACAAGATCGTATATGCACTCTTGTAGTCATTTACATCGCAATTATAGGAAGAACGTAACTAACTGGTCCAGGTCGAGAGGGAGAGGCAGGAGTCTGGACCTTTGCAATTTAAAACCAATTATATTATATTAATATGGGCGCAACATCCTATTCGTGATCTTGTATTAATGACTCTTATTTAATAGTCCTCGAGAAAAGATTAGATGATTGTAGGGTTCACTTCCCCTGAGTATTAATCCTCGTTGAGAAAAAAAATACTTCTGTGATTAGGAGTTGATTTGGTTGAACATTCCTGATCACCATATGTTCTCTGAATTTTTCATACATTTTTCACAAGTTTCTTTTGGATTCCTTTTCTCAAAAGCATAGTCATTAGGTTCATACTGTCGAATAAATTACTTGTATGTGTCAAGACTTATCTTTCTCTGAAGAAAAAAAATAAAACGTCGACTCCAACCAGCTAAAACTCCCCTTACAGGATCCTTTACAGATTGGAATCTGCAGGAACTTCAGCTATCAATGTTCCTTTGCAGATTCCCATATCCTAAAAAAAGTCATCTTGCTTTGATGCAGATTCCTCTAAACTGAAACCATATTGTACACACGAAAATTGACAACAACAGAGAAAAGATAAAAATATCACCAACAAATAAACATTAAGAAAACTATAGTTTAATCATCTCAGTACTTAAATCTACAGGAATTGTCTTGGCTAGTCGAAGCCATAAACAAAAGATAAACTTCTCTCCGTGTACAGAGTATCAACTTCTTATACTACTCTGTGAGTATAACTATTGCATAGCAGTCTTAAATTAAGATTTTATTTTTGATTAAGTCAGTCAATGCTCAATTTACGCCAATAGATTTTGAAGGATTTTGCATTCAAGCAGAATTTAAGACTGACTTTTTACTGTGTTGTTTGAAATTGTGGAAGATATTTACTTACTTCGAATGGTTGGCGTAACTTGAAGAATAGTACTTTGCCCACCGGGAAAAGTTGCATTCCTTTTATGACGACCCTGTAACAACAAATTTTATTTCATTAGTAAAATTACAAAATTCAACACATATGCTATAAATTTTAATTGATAGAATTTCTATGTGACCGAGTTGGCATATAGTCTTTCGGGGCGATAAATATGCTTCACACATCCCTGAAATCGCCTTGGAGGCGTGGCTTATGCGTTGAACGACTCGTGAGTTTTGAGATCTTGAAAATTTTCGAGAATTGAACGACTCGCGAGAACTCACTGTAGTATTCTACTAGCAATTAGTAAAAAATTACTAAAGATTAGTAAAAACTGTTACTAATTCAATTAGTAAACGAATCCGCACTATTTCATTAGTATAGAAAATTACTAATTCAGATTTAGAGAGTACCAATGCATTGCAAACACGGCAATAATTTTTTCTTTAAAAAAAGTTGTGACGGCCAGGCTACAAACAAAGAACATTCAAATATTTTAAATAAACAATAAAATTACAATAATTTATTAAAATGATACCGCATTATTTAGGTACATGTATGATCGAGCAAACAATTTTAGGTATTAGTATGAAGTTTATCATAGTTTTGTTCGATTCATACCACTTATAACTATGTCAATATAGTTGCATTGGTAACAGATTTCCTTTCTTTACATAAACAATTGCCGTCTCGATATTTTTTTAGTCATTTATTGCAATTAATTATTTATTTAGTTGTTAAAATTGTAGTTATATTTGGATTTTGCTTGTCTTTTCGATGCCGGCCCCCCCGACCAGCAGCACTCGCTTCGCTCGTGCAGCAAATGTCGGGGCCGGCATCGAAAGTCAATAACGGCGTCTTTCTTTTAGAGAGGGATAGATAAAAAGCCAGAGCTTCAGGAGTTGCCGATGGCGGCGCTGAATCGGGGAGCAAAAGTAAAAGATGGCCGGCTGTCAAATCGAACGCGATTGCAAGATTTGTAATTAATAAATTATTAAGCGTACTTTCGGCCGGATATAAAGAAAAATAGTATACATTACACGGGCAAAAAGTTCGAAATTCCTGCATCGCGATGATGCCCTTGGCTTCGCCTCGGGCATCATTTCACGCGATGCAGGAATGTCGAACTTTTTGCCCTTATAATGTAATATACTATTTAAATGAGTGAGACCGTATTTCTGATGTGTACTCAGCAGGAGATCGAACCAGGGCATTAAACAAAAGTGTAAAAATTTAAAAATTGAAATTGATTTATTTTGTTCAAATTCAAATTCTATTCCTAGGGCTCCCGGTAAGAAGAGATTGACTGAAATGTCATTTTTGAAGATCCATGTCCTAATTCCTTTAGAGATAATTCATCTGCACACATTTATATTCTGTTTAATTTTGTACACGGAGAGAAATCTGTTAGGATTAATGCTCGAAACTTTTCATATACTTTTTCCATAGATTCTTTGATGCTAAAATCCTAACAGAGAGCCTACACTGTAAAAAATTTGGGGAATATTCACTAACTTTTTATGATGAATATTACACATTTTTTGGGAAAAGTACTTTTCCCCAAAAAATTGGTGAATATCTCTTAAAATTTGGTGAAAATTTTACAAAATTCTAATGAATATAATTTTCCCCAAAAAGTTGATGAATATTCCCCAGATTTTAAGGAATACTTTTTATAAATTGGTGAATATTCACTAACTTTTTAGGGAAAAACATATTCAACAAAATATGAATTAATTTTCAACAACTTTTTATTTAATTAAAATTACTTTTATTTGATTTAATTTTATTTACATATTTTCCACCGAATCCTAAGAAAGTCAGCCAAGCTTCTCGAGTTAAGTTTTTAGAGAAATAAATTATTACGGAATATTTATTGCCTTTAAACTTATAATTATGTTAACATTATTTAATTAAATTACATAATATATCCAATAGTTTTTTCAAAATAAAATTTGTGGATTAATAAAATATGAAAGTTAGGAAAAAAAATACTTTTTGTGCATTTTTATTAACAAAGAATGTTTACTCATTTCATTGTAAAATTGAAGGAGTTTTAAAAATTAGTTATATATGCTATATTTTGTAAATATTTTCGTTTTGAAGAAAAAATAAAAGAGGTAAAAGAGGAAAAAATAAAAGAGTTTTTCGGTGCCTGTTTTTTTCGTATAGTTTTATTGAGATAGAAAGATGGGGGATTGAAAAGTGCAGAAGAAAAATTTAGAGATCTCAAATATTTTCCACAAAATTTCCGAATGTCAGCATTCGCCGCGTCAGTTGCTCTTAAGTATTTGCTAGAGTCGAATCTACATCTTTCGTGCTAAAAATTTTTTTTGTGTAAGTGAAGTTTTAAAATTGTGAAAAATTTATGGATTATCTTTAAAGAATACGTATTAGACAGGTAAATAATATTTAATAACAATAAGTTAATAGTAACTGCGCTCCCTTGATCGTAATGAGCGAAATGGAATGACTAATTATTGAATTAATAAATCTTTTAACAACTTTTCAGAATGTTATTGGATATTAATCTCATGAAAGGACAAGAAAGTGGATGAAAAATACAAGAAAAATGGTCAGCGATGCAAAGTCTGACTGATTGATAAATAACAATAGATTTTAATGGAAATTATTGTACTTTAAAAAATATTTTATCATATATATTATAAGAAAATAAAATAATATTGTATTATATTATTATTATTATTATTATTATTATTATCATTATTGTATATAATAATGTATTATAACTTAAGATTACCTTAAGTATTGCAACTAATAAAAAATATATATTAGTTTTCATTTAAACACATGGTTTTATTTTTAAGTAAATATATAATAAAATTTAATTTAATCCACATAATCCTGAAGAAAATATACCAAAAATATAGTATAACAATTACAAACATTTGTGAAATTTCTCTAATGGCACGGTCACACCTCGGCTGCCTGCCTGCCTGCGCAGGCAGCCGCCACGAGAGTAAGAGAGAGGAGACGAATAATTTAAATTGTCTGACTCTCTTACTCTTATGTATTGCCATGACGACCTGCAGGCAGGCAGGCAGGCAGCCGAGCTGTGACCGTACCATAAAACTCTAGTAAAAATCCATCAAAATATTGTAGGGAACATTCACAAATATTTAAGGAAATTTCATTAAATTTGATTGAAAATTCACCACAAAATTTTAGGAAAACGTTACCAATATTTGTGGATTTTTTCAAAACTGTTGTTGAAAATTCACCAACAAAATTACAGAATATTCATAAAAATTTGTGAAATTTCCACAAAATTTCCTGGGTAAACTTTTCACCAAAATCTTGGTGAATATTTCACAAAATTTTGGGGAAAATTTTCCCCAGAAAATTTTGGGACATATTCCACAAAATGCCTTCAAAGTTGCGTCAACAGAATTTTGGGGAATTTTCACCACAAAATTTTTTACAGTGTATTTAAATTTATTGCTCGAGTCCGCCTGAATATTAGGCGGAGTCGACTGATATTCAGGCGGACCTCATACTTTTCCCTAGTAAGTGCTTATGTATGCTATATTCATAACCTCTACTCTATGCATTATTCGCAACAGATTTCTCTCCGTGTACGCATTTTAATTCTGATACACTGAGAAAACTGGAGAGTCAAATTCAGAGGTTCAAAAAGTGTATGTTTCCTTTGCTTATGAAGAGAGTTAAATAGTCCTTCTAAAATAAATTTTGAATTGATAATGGAAATCTACTTGTAGGGTAAGTGTACTAATTCCTGCGGTATTTTGGTCAAGACGTCTTTTAACTATAAAATATAATTTTTATATTGATCAAATTGAACTTATGTCTTATTAAATTTGTAGTTTGTGTTATTAAGATATGTTTACAATAAATAACATCTCTAAAATATAATTTATTTTAATAAATTTAATGAATTAAAAATAATATTCAATGCGTTTAATTCTGCGCGTTTGAGTCAGTTGCTGCGCATCAGTTGCTGCGCGAATTCAATTCCTGTGGGTCAGTTTCTGCGCATAATTTTGTGCTTATGTGTATAATACCGCAAACTACTATGAAATCAAAATGGGACAATGATTTTAATCAATGTTTAATTGAATAGAATATAAATTTATTAAAAATAAATATATATCATATATTAACAAAAGTAACAAATAATTTCTGAATTATCACATTTTTGAAACATTTAGTTAAAACTTAATAACAGAATTCTTCCTTAATTACTTTATGTATTTATTAAATTTTCTTTAGTTTTTCCTCCATAATCTTCATTTTTTCTTTCATTTTCATAATTTTTTCTTGCTCTTTTTCAAAATAGATAGTCTATTGTAACCAGTCTTAGTTGATTTTCTGAGGGCGCAGAAATTAAATCAAGCCCAAATTCTGTGTTAATTACTACTCTTAAAAATAAAATATAATAACAGACAAAAATAAAGTAAAGTTTAATTTTTCTTTTAAAACAAGGTTTTCTTTATCTAAAATCATCATAATAATAACCACTTTAAGTCTAAAAACAATAATAAAGCCTTTTTTATGTAGGTATTTTTGCACCGCCAGCAAAGTTAGCAATGAAAATAAATAAAACCTTGCACACGTCAACTTTTAATTAAAATAAAATACATAAATATTAAGTTTTGGTATATACTTCCTATATCTATTTTAAAACTTACATCGTTAAGTAATTTTTAAAAAAAATTTCAAAATTATTTGTGCCCTGAACAAATGTATTCACTTAAATTATTAAAATGCCGCAGAAACTGAAGCACCCGCAGCAATTGACGCACTTACCCTATATTCTCTTCCATTATATCTGAGGGTTAAAAGTTGCGCAGAAAATGTGTACGATCTGGTGCGCGCGAAATTATTTTTCTGACATTTTATCAGGAAGGAAGAGTAAAGTCCAACGCACAATAGGTTCGCGAAAGTCGTTAGCGAACGAGACACATGAGATAGACAAGGACACAAATATATCTCTGTCCTTTTCTAACTCATGCTTTGCGTTCGCGAACGACTTTCGCGAACCTATTGTGCTTAGGCCTTAAAGGAGCATTC